GGTGATTGTAAACCCCAAAAACCCCAAAATTCCCCTAAATCCCACCTGGGGGTGATTGTAAACCCCAAAAACCCCAAAATTCCCCTAAATCCCACACGGGGGACCCCAAAAACCCCAAAATTCCCCTAAATCCCACCCGGAGGCATTTCCCCAAATCCCTGTCTGGGATTTTTGGGTGAAATTTTTCCTTTCCTGTGTTTTTTTGGGATTTGGGGTCTCCTGGGGTGGTTTTTTTGGGGAATTTGGGGGCCCCCCGGGTGGGTTTTTTTGGGGATTTTGGGGTCTCCTGCGTGGTGTTTTTTGGGATTTTGGGGTCTCCCAGGTGGTTTTTTTTTGGGATTTTGGGTCTCCGGGGTGTTTTGTCCCCTCAGGCTGATCAACGTCACCGTGGAGTTCCAGCTCAAGGCCATCAACATCCAAACGCTGCTGAACCACGAGATCCCCGACTGCTACACCTTCAGTGTCACCGTGCGTGTCCCCACGTGTCCCCAAAGTGTCCCAAATTGTCCCCAGGTGTGCCCAGGTGTCCCCTGAGTGTCCCCAAGGGACCCCAAATCACCCCTGAGCGTCCCCAGATACCCCAAAGTGTCCCCAGGTGTCCCCAGGTGTCCCCAAATACCCCAAAGTGTCCCAAACTGTCCCCTGAGTGTGCCCTGGGTGTCCCCAAAGTGTCCCCAAGTGTCCCCCAATGACCCCTGAGCGTCCCCAAATATCCCAAAGTCTCCCAAGTGACATTGACAGTGACAGTGACAGTGACATTGACAGTGACAATGAGTGAGAGCGACAGTGACAGTGACAGTGACAGTGACAATGAGTGACAGTGACAGTGACAGTGACAATGACAATGAGTGACAGTGACTGTGACAGTGACAATGAATGACAGTGACAGTGACAATGAGTGACAGCGACAGTGACTGTGACACTGACTGTCACATTGACAGTGACAATGACAATGCCAGTGACAGTGGCAGTGAAAATGACAATGGCAGTGACAATGACAGTGACAGTGACAATGACAGTGACGGTGACAATGAGTGACAGTGACAGTGACATTGACAATGACAGTGACATTGGCAGTGACAGTGACGACAATGACAGTTACAGTGACAATGAGTGACAGTGACAGTGACAACGACAATAACAGTGGCAGTGACAATGGCAGTGACAGTGACAGTGACAATGAGTGACAGTGACAGAATGACAGTGATGACGAAAATGACAATGACAGTGACAGTGACAATGGCAGTGACAGTGATATTGACAGTGACAGTGACGGCAACAGTGACAGAATGACAGTGACAGTGACAATGACACTGACAATGGCAGTGACAATGACAGTGACAGTGACAGAATAACAGTGACAATGAAAATGACAGTGATAATGACGGTGACAGTGACAATGGCAGTGACAGTGACAGTGCCACCCGGTGTCCCCAGGTCACGTTTGACAACAGCGCCCACAGCGGGCGGGTGCGGATCCGCCTGGACACCCACGCGGCCATCCGGGAGTGCCACCACCCCTCGCTGCCCGGCAGAGGTGACAGCGGGTGACAGCGGGTGACATGGGGCTGTGGGGGTGTCCCTGGGAGTGCCACCACCCCTCGCTGCCCGGCAGAGGTGACAGTGGGTGACAATGGGTGACATTGGGCTGTGGGGGTGTCCCTGGGAGTGCCACCACCCTGCCACACCCAGCAGAGGTGACAATGGGTGACAGCGGGTGACACTGGGCTGCGAGGGTGTCCCCGGGAGGTGACAAGAGGCCGCGGGTGCCACCCGGGGGTGCCCTGGGCTGTCCCCGCAGGTGACACCCCGCTGCGCCTGTCCTTCGACGTGCTGGTGACGGCCGTGTGCGCCCTGTCCCTGGCGCTCTGCGCCCGCTCCATCGCCCGCGGGCTGCTCCTGATGAGGGTGGGGCACGGGGGAATGGGGGGTTGGG